CTGCGGCGAAGTTCTTCTCGAAGGCAACGTTCCCCTGCTTCAAGGAATAGGAATAGGCGTCACCAGGAGGGTAATATAACTATAGGATGAACGCACTGTGATCCTCGTGACGAACTTCCAACAGGAGACGCAACGCCTCAGAAAAGGTAGCGCAGTGGGTTATTTCAAAGAACTTTGCTACACAAGTCAGGTGACCACGATTTCTAAAGAAACGTCGCTATCTCGCCAAGACACTACGCTTTCATCGCAACTCGACATTGACCCAGAGGTACCCATCTTGCAACAACGACGGCTGACAGAACTCCTCGCCAAATTCAACGACTGCTTTGCGACGTCGTCTAAGGTGCGGAAACAGTGGTTGCGAAGCATTGCATCGTTGCCAACGACCACGGGCTTCCTGTGCGTCGGCTGCAGTACCGGATCTTCATTAAAAAAACCAAGGCCATGCAGAAGAAAGTTAAGAAAATGCTCATTGACAATACTATCCAGCCTTCAAGAAGCCTGTGGTCCTCTCCCGTCGTACTCGTCAAGAAGGACGGAACATCCAAGTTCTGCGTGGACTAGTGGCAGCTCAACGCAGTGACGAAGGACGTCTACCACATGAAAGCATTGACGACATACTCGACCGGCTATGCCAGTCATGATACTTTTCGTCGATGGATCTGAAGAGTGACTCCTGCCTTATCAAAGTCGTCGAAGATAACCGAGAAAAGGCTGCCTTCGTTACGCCAGATGAACCGCACGAGTTTAAGGTAATGCACTTTGGATTTTGAACAACAGAGGCAAAATTTTGGCGTGTCAGGAATACCGTTCTGGCAGGCCTCAAATGGCAGAGCAGTCTAGTTTTCCCTGACAACGTTGTGATATTCTTGAGCGACTTTGACAAGCAGTTAAAAAGACTTCGAGCCGTGCTCCACGCAAACAGGACCATCGGACTTTCCCTCAAGCGAACGATGTGTAGCATCGCCTATCGCGAACTGAAGTTCCTAGGTCATGTTTGAGCAGAAAGGGAGTTCGTCCTGACCCAAGACGAGTCGCGTCGTAGCAGCCTTTCCACCACCATCAGATAGAAAGGCAGTAAGATTTCTTGAACACTGCTCTTAGTACAGACGCTTTGTTTAGTATCTTGTGGAAACGTTTTCCCCACTGACCTCACAAAGGACGCCGTGAACTTCGAATTGAGGGAAAAACAAGAGGCATTAGACGAGTTGAAGCGAAGGCTACTGTCACCCCCGATAATCAGCCACTTCGGTCACTCAGCGGAAATAGACGTTCACAAGGATACCAGCAACGTATGACTCGTCGCGGTATAGGTACACGGAAAAAGGAAGCCGAGCGAGTGACATACGGCATGATACCCGCACGCTGTTGAACGCAAAGCAATATTACTGGACTACTGAGAAGGAAGATCTTGCCGTTGAATGGGCGATGAAAAAATTCCACCCATATTTGTACGGGAACACGTTTCTACTGGTCCCATACCACCACTCGCACTCTTTTCTCGCCAACAAATAATATCCGTCAGTACGCCTCGCTTGATAAAGCGTACGGCTGTTAGAGTTTGGCGTGACGTTGTGTACAAGTCAGGCAGAAATCACAGCGACGCGGACTGCCTGTTCAGAGTCCTCGTCAATTAAGATCCCACCGGCACCAACGACGACGATGGCGAGAGATTTCTAGGAGCACTGAACGTCAATGACATAGTAAACCTCCAGCGAGATGATCCTTAGCTGCGTGCTCTGATCGGAGACTTCAAAGGATGAGGAAGCGCAGTTTCCAGTATTTTCTCAAGAGCGTTGTCATCCTTCGCCATTTGACAACCTGTCCTCTACAAAACTAACTTCGGGGACAACAACTTGACGCGGCTTTCGGTAATTTCTTCCGGCCTTCGAGAGAAGATCTTCCAAGCCTGGCATGATGACCAGACGTCCGGACATCTCGCTTACAGCAAGCCTCTGGCCCTAGTTAGTGAGACGTACTGCTGGCCTAAGCTTTTAATGACAGTTCACCAGTACGCTAGATTGTGCCATGAGTGCCAACGCCGGGAGAAACCTCCAACTAAGTCATGGGAACTACTGTTACCGGTTGTGCCGCCTACTGCTCCGCTTCAGCAGTCGGAATGGATCTACTACTATGACCTTTCCCAGCGTCAGTGTCGGAGAACCGCTGGATAATCGTCGCCAGAGACTACCTAACCCGGTAAGCTAAGACAAATGTCCTTGCTTTAAATGTGCTGCAGGGGTTGCCTAGCTTTTCGTGGAATCCATCCTTCTCCGAACAGCGCCCTGAAGTCCTGATAACAGACCGAGGGTTAGCATTCATGGCCCAGCTAACTCAAGAAATTTTTTCAGGCTAAGCCACACTAGCCATCGTTAAACCACTGCGTAGTACTGCTGCCCAACGGACTGACAGAACGACTAAACAAGAGCATTGCCGACAGGATCTTAATGTACGTTGACGTAGAACACACCTCGCGGGTCGAGCTGTTACCCTTCGAAACGTTCGCATACAACCACCGGAGTGACACAATTTCAACTGCTGAACGGCAAAAAGGCGACGACGATGCTTGACGTGATACAGCCCCGCAGCCCCGCAGACGACAGCACCGACAACGCCCAGTTGGTCACCCAGCAGACAAAAGAGGTACACCAGTTATCTCGCCTTCGGATCCCGGCCCAACAACGTCTCGACGTTGGCCGCTACTACCTTCGCCGTCGTTACCTCCACATCGAGCCCGGAGACAGGGTGTTGGTGTGCACGCCCATTTGCTGTCGTTGCTTCAGCGGGAATTTCCAAACGGTACTTTGGACTGTACAAGGTTATTCGTGCCAACTTGGGGATTTGAATTACAAGGTGTCCCCCGAACAGAACCCGGCCATCTGGATGCCGTCAGCCGCTACCCAACCTGTTGCACTTCGTTCGTCTCAATCCATATTATGCTCGACAGAACAGAGACCTCGTCATGGTTTAGATGACCCCACAGCTTACTACGCACGGCCATGTGGCTTAGCTCTGTGGTATTTTATTTGAAGTCGCATTAGGACGATGCGTTTTTAAGGGCGTGAGTAATGCCGCGTGCATGGCCGAGAGAGAACGCACATGAATCTCACGCAAGCGCCCGGGGCTCAATGCCCGGCACCCAAAATTACTTTTATTCATTCCTTTTTTTCCTTACTTCTAGAAGCTTCGTATTTGCTCCTACCCCAAGTGATCGATGCTCGAACATTCTGGGACGAATGTTCGAGATACCGAATGTTGTAGATAGGAAGCCGAGGATGATTTTCAGTCTCCCGAGTGTTCCACGCTCGAACATTCTTGGCTGAATGATCGAAATACCAAGTGTAAAAGATAACGAGCCAAGCGTGGCCTTGCCGAGTCCGTCTCGCGCTACCCAGTTGTCAAGCCGGCACCTCCACGCTTCGTTTTGTTTTTTCGATGCTTGTTCTCTTATAAGGTTTCTGGCACACGTTCGTTAATTAAAAAAATATCTTCAGTTTTACGTTTGTCGATTTTTTTGATCCGCAATGACATATCTAATTATCTACTTTCAATAACAAATGGTTTATATTGCTTCTTCAACTTTTTTTTTTACACTTCCGGCATGTCGGTGTTTTAAAGCCTCATTCTTCCGGCATCCACCAAATATAAAATGTTCAAGTGCGGGCAATCTGACGTATACTGAACATGATAGTTAGACGGAGTCTCATAGTTTACTAGAACGTTAAATGCGAAAATTTCGCCACATCATCCGGTGGTTTTTGAACAAGCTAATTGTGTTTCCAAAACAAAAAGCATGGTCAATGATCATCTAAATCGTTCTGAGCTTTAGAACGCTTTATGCAACCATTTATGCACAACCCCTGTGTGAATAACTCTGCTTCAGAATATATTTGATTGAAACTCTAATAATAAAATAATTTCAATACTGTTCTGAATATTTAACAATGACTTTGCTAGCTGCTCCTTTCGGTCTATTTATACGTCATTTTACTGAAATATTGGGGTCGAAAAAACTGTTTTATGTAATTATAGGTACGACTCATCGACATGAGCCTTGGTTACGGCTCATGAAAATGTATTAGTTACGACCCATCAGCATGAGACTCGTTAGTTACGACTCATCAACATGAGACTCCACAACTTGTAAGACATGAAACTTGAGGTCAAAAAAGCCCAATTCTAAGTTTAACGGCCCTAACGTGATTGCTTGCCTGCGTTCTGAATTAGCATTATTTATTCTTAAGGCCGACTCATTAGTTTATTTTACTGTTGTTTAATATGTACTGAAAAACAATTAGCTAAAGAAACACGAATGATAAGGCCTCACTATTATGGTTCCTATTCCTAAGACGAATCTCCCAACCCCGTTCCGCCCTCTCTCCAGCCCCGTGCCCCTTCAACCTGAATCCTAAATGGAGTTGCTCGCTTCCCACAGCGTCTGGAAGAAGCCTACTGAGCGACATTGGCCGACCACGTTGAGGAAATTCTCGGGGACGACTAGAAGGTGTCAAGCCAGGACCCAAACCGCATTAGTAATTCCCACGATGTTGCCGGAATAGTTGTTTATCGTTCTTTTTTTTTTTTTAAATAAACTTTTGTTTTTCTTTTTTTAACTTTTAGGTTTCCACCTCGAAGCAATATCTCCAACCCTTTCTCCAGCTGCTCACTTTGTAGACGCAAGAGGGATCTCTCTTCCGTGCTTACACTACACAGATGGCGCTCGTGATGGCCTACGCGCAGATAGGCGCACGTCGCAGAGGGCAGAGGTGTGCGAGCATATAGGCCGCACTGCGCTCTTAGGCTCACGTTTTTAGCCCGGTGCGTACCGTAAGGGCAAAAATATGCATTAGTCAGGTGCAACATGGTTCCAGCGAAAGCAAGCAAACATTAGCAGCGCTGAAGAAACGACTCCTCGACAAGTTATTCTCTTTCCCAGACAAACAAATTACAACAAAACTATTCCAAAATATAGTGTATAAAAATATAGATAGGTAACTCACATCAGCCGTCACATCTAACTTGAAGTATGCAGATGTGTATGAATCTCCAAACACGTATTTCATATTCTTCATCAGTTGACGGATGCAGTTAGCTTGAGCAGAAAGTTTATTAAAGGAGGCGTCAACTGATCCCATAAACTGGGAGTATGTAGTGTAGAGTCTCGATCTTGTGTAGGATAAAAGCTGAACAATTCGCTTCCACCCAAGATAATTAAAAAGCACTTCCCTGCAACAAAAGTGAACTTTATATAAAACAAATACTGAAATGATCTCGAATTCCTGCTTTATACTATCGAAAATGTATCGATGTATCAGCAATGGCAAACATCTTCCTGTGGACATAGTTCAACTTCGTTTCATGCTCACAGAAGGTTTTGACGCGGAGTGCTCACTTCCGAATATACGATCCACACCGCATATCTTGCCGGTTTACAAATGTACACTAGGAATATTAAAAGGAATTTGGTTCTTTACTTATGCAATAAAATTTGCAATATTCTCATTTGGTAAAAGCCACATCGGTACATTTTTTTCTTTACAGCACAACAGTTAGAACTCCGGCCTACACTTAAAATAATTCTGTCAACTCAGTAAACGCAAACTGATTGTTTCTGAAACCATGTTTATATATGACTTACATATTTGATTTATCAGGGACTATAATATTTAACTCACAGTAACTTAATTCTCATCTTCATATCTTAGGATATTGATAGTTCGCTACAATTTATATATGTGTTTTGATGTGACCTATTGACACTCGCTCAAATATAGAGTGGTATTTTCAAAAGCATGTTCAAACAAGCGCTGAGATCAGCAATTCGTGAGAACGAGCACCGGCAGCAAGAAAAAAATCGTTTGACACTTGCTACAAGAAACTTTTTCGTTCATTTGTGTCTTTACGGTCTTTACATAAAAGAAATATCCACTCAGGAACTTTGAGCACTCTCTTCGTTGTGTCAATACTAGCGGGACTTCAGAGTGGTATAGTTTTAGGAACAATTAAGGAATACTAACCACTCGAAGTATAAGCTTGTTTCTTGTTTAATTTTCTACTTGTTTGCAAGCTATGTACGATTAACTGGGTGCGAATATAACTTCAAAAATATTATAGAAGTCTCACATTTATTACATAGTGATTAACGCTAACCACAGGCTATCTTCAGACCAGGGAGATACAGTTGTTCGAGACATGAATGTATTGCTATATTATCTTAGATATATACTTACGACTACGTGTATCTCAAATTGAGATACTTATAATAAAGGGAAATCTATACGAGTAGTGATATACATTATCAATGTATCTCTTGTATCCTCGCGCTCTGCCAGACTTCGGTGTCTTGTTACCTTTGTGTACGAAAATGAACTGTTATTTACTATAAACAAAAGAAACACACACACGAAAACACTGAACCGAATGTAAGAGTGCAAATGAGCTGGTGAATATTTAGCATGAGAGAAACACCGAGACAGCGGATAAAAACGATACAGAGGAAAGAAGTCTCAAATAGAGACTTTTTACTGTATGTCCATCTTTTACGCGCAGTCTCAGGATTTTTGTCACGTCAAAAACCGACCTTTTTGTGCAAGGGTTCGAGAGTTTGTGATTATAAATTGGCAAATAACCCCCCCCCCCCCCTAGAAAGGGGAAGGTGGAAATGGAGGAGCCTAGCGCTTTGGTACATCAAACAGTCACACAAGTAAATAAAACGAGAAATCAGAAACAACACGAACAAAGGGCGTTGGCTGAGCGATTACTTGGAAGAATTGCAGGATAAGCTCCTCCCAAAAAAAAAATCCCCCTACTGTTTTCGCTTTAGCAAAACGAACGCTGTTAACGAGACGAGTTTAGAGGAGGAAGGAATCAGTCATTAAATGTAGATAACTTTAAAAGCGGCTTATCTTCCTGCACGGAGCCTGTTAAGGTCCCGTGCAGACTACATCTGGCTTCGTTGTTTGATATTTTTTTGCGTTTTAAGAGGTACTCTCACGAAAAAAAAGGTATCAATTCAGGCAGATGGCCCTTATCAAGCAGTCGTTGGTGTCCAGTCCTTCGCTGGGGGCAATTATGCTTTTTTAGCAGCCTTTTGGGATCGTAAGGGAGGGTGAATAAACTCATAGATAAAAAAAGAATACAAACACTACCATTTACATACGCCACGACCTGCTCCTTCACCACCTACCACTTTTCGGGAATAAATACATTTCCTCCATGTGTATATATTCCTACTCCAGAACACTTTTTTTGGTGTTTTGCTAGAAGTTAGGAATAATTCGTTGCATAGTAGAGCAAATGTTTCTCGGTGTTTAATTTTTGCCTTAAAACTCATGTATCTGGGTATTTGCATTTTAGCCTTAAAATATATATCTCTCAGTATTTGTATCCCGGAGTACTTTGTGGTGTATCTCCACCTAGCCATGCTTCGAACAGATATTCTTGACTCCAGTTTCATAATATCATTGCTATTTGATATCTTAGTTCCTCCAAGATGCAGCTTCCGCATCATCTTGCAAAATAAATCGTTCCACTCAGTATGGGAGGCTGCATAATTCTGCGCATCACTCTCGGACTTTCCACTCATCACCGGGATTGAAGCGTAACAACAATCAAAACAAGCCTATCAATGCCCTCCTTTTAGAAGGAAGAAGTATTCTCTGTGTGCTTGATTCGAGTTGCAACTCAAAACAATTTAATTTGTATGTAAAACAACTATTCTTTTAGAAATGAATAACAAATGTAGTTACTTTGACCTTTGTTACTCTCACGCGACTTGTTTCCATAACTATATTACTCCAACTAGATTCGTAATGTTTAATTATCCTCCCAAAACCAGAGTCCAATTTCCAGTAAAACATTATTTTTGTAATGACATGATTATCCTTCGGTACCAAAATTGCAAACATAATTGTGTGTTATTGCTTGATTCACACTCTGTTGTATTTCTCTTTTTTAAGTGACCTATGTCCTCTTTCAACGCCCATGACACTAGGGGTGGATTAATGAATAGATGGCATGTTGTGTACACTCTACTACTGGCTGTTTTAGGTTAAAAAAGAGGGACAAGCTGTTCCCAGAAAGCCCTTCACTCTTCTTTCAAGCAGAACGAACGCTGAAGAGGAGGCGTGGGAAGGCTCGCTTCCCCTTTTGCATTCACTCCATTAAAATGGGAAGTTTGAGGAGCTTTGCAGGAGGAGCTTGCGCTGATGTGCCAAGCAGCAGGCTCTAGACATCCTAAAGATAGCGGCTTTTAGTTCGCTCAAACAATTTTTTCTCTTTTGTTTTTGCTGGGGAGCACCGATCTTTATTGAACATTTTATATTAAAATTTGAGCTCGCTGCGCGCAGAGCCTATATCTCTAACATATTTTAGGCCATATTTAAATGGTGACGCCACCTCATAGAAAATAGTGAACGCAGATACTTACGGCGATTTTTGACTAATTAGTCTAGAAACAATTTTGTAGTACTCTAATCTCCATATGATGACGCTCTGTGAGTCTCTTAAAGACGTTTTAATGGCTTCGAATGGGTGTTTGAGAATTCTTTTCCAAGGCAGTCCCTATTCAAACAAATTAAAGCGGATAAAAATAACGAACACATTAAAATATCCACAATTAAATTGCAACCTCGTCAGAGATGTTACTTTGTTCATTCTTATTTATTTACTTATCCTTTTTTATTTTCTTAGCGCATCGCCGGATGGCATTTCAGTTGCTGGGATATATACATCAAGTATACACACAAGCGCTATAATATAAAATCTCAGGAAGGACATATGGAAACATTATTAAATGCAGTAAATACGGACACTTGAAAGCAAACGAATACATTTCGCAATGCAGTAAAAAGAAGGTCACTGTTCACAATTTAAACAACTTTAGAGCTCAACAGATTCTCTTGCGGAATCAATTGAATCAAGAGCGAATCGGTTGATTCTCCTACGAATCACTTACTCCAAGACTTTTAATTGTATTCAGAAAGAACTTGAAAACATACAACGCAATAGCATATTCATTATGATCTATTCAGGAGCAGCAACAATTATGTTCGTTTTACAATTATCACAATATTTCTCGCACAAATATTTTCACATCTTCTCAGTAACAACAACCTCCAAACGAAAACCCCTAGACAGTCACATGTAAGAAATATATATGTATTTGTCGTTTAACTGGGTGTGTTGACTTAAGCTTTGGGTTACCACAAAACACTTTTCCCCGTGGAAAGAAAAAGAGCATCAATTCGTGTAATTGGAGCGAGCTGGTATGCTACAAGAATTTAAAAAAAAAGTGAAAACAAATATCGTAAGTTATTGTTTGTTTACAAAATTATAGTTTCATTTGAAAATAAATTTGGCCACTAATTCGACCCTGCTGGCAAACTGGCGATTTGGTAAATTCAGTAAACGACAGCTAACCTGAAATCCTCAACGCGCTTTGAGAGTAGCGACCGCAAAGCCAAGTTCTGTTTTTATCGTGATTGAAAACTTCAAGTGTGCGGATTGAGCTAAGGATGCCTGGGTTAAATTTCTAGGGAGGCCTGCACTCACGCAATATACTTTGTAAATAGCTTACACGGTCGGCCAGACTCGAAAATTATCTAACGGCGGGTTTTCTAGGTAGCTCACCCCAATCAATTTCTCTACGTCCTTAAGTGTCGTCAATTTTCTGTTGTCCTTTGGATCAATTCTGCTGTCTTCAGTTGTAGCCTGAAGGTTTAAAGGCAGTATTAAAACAAAAGTCGACTTGAAAAGACAAGCATTACATAAAAAACACGCTATCGATAATTGCAATCCGTTCCTCTTTAAAAGCTTGAGTCGCCATCTTGGGTAGATATTGATTTCTATGAACCCTAGTCTAATAGTCATGTGCACGTCTCAGCAAGGCTTGACTACCAGGCCATCTACACACACCAGCAGCAAGATGGCGGCGCAATGCCGAGTTGGCACAGCAGACACACACCAAACTTGTTAATCTTGGCTTGGCACATAATTGCCGAAGTGCCAGACGTAAGCCGAAAATGCCACGTATTAACCGTACAACCATCAATCACTTGTTAGCCAATTTTGGCCCAAAATTGCCGCATGATAACCAAAGAACCGAAAGTTGAGACAAACCACGGCAGTTCGGCAATTTGGGCCAAAGATATCGGATGATAGCCACACTAGATGCAATAAAGCCTAACTTTTGCCCTTGCTTCGGGAATTAGGGCCAAGAAACGCAATCTCAGACCAAAGAAAGACAAGTTTGGCTTCACATTGGCTTCTTCGGGGTTTTTATGGCCCTACATTCCCAAACAAACTTCCCAAACAAACAAAACCGCTGAAGAGTATACGCGTTGCAATTGAGCTTTAAAACTATATTTTACTTTGTGGAAACATGACTTCACCTGCGCCCACACTAAAATGGACAAAGCTTATCCCCCTTCTTACAACTTTGGAATGGGATGACGTATCGTGTAGGATACCTTCCACTGCACTGTCAGGCGTGCCGATTCCCACCAAAGTTTGAACAAAGCACGATTTTAGGAAACTTTTCAGGTCGGTCCACTGGAAGCGTGCCATACAGCCAAATGCAACGAGTGTTGTGTAAGATAGCCGTTCATAACGCTGCATGAGAAGGAAGTGCTCGTTCTAGCTAGTCCTTTTAACTAATAAGTGTCACCTAAGCCAGTGATTTGTCCTGCATGTGTGCCCTTATAGTTTTATAGTGTACTTAGTTTGTTAATAATTTTTGTAAATATTTATGGTGTAAATCTCGTGTGCTTTGTCCTTTTTTGTATTTTCTATGTGTTAACGTTCTTCTGGTCTTCCTCCCATAAATATCAGTTGCGAGCCAGCGCTTGCGTGCTCCATCTGTGTCTTTTTCTTGTCCTCTCCTTTATGCGCTGTTACGAATCACGTCTCAATTCTAACGAGCACAACTCAACATTGCTCGGAAGGTACCCACTCCGGTATTCAGTTTTTCAAGAAATGATTTTTTTTCTCGAAATATTTGTCATTACATTTTATCCATAGACGGAGAAGGAGCATCTAAACACATAAAGAAAAAAAAAATCTCGACCGGTTACGCGTGGATTATCTCATCTGGACAAACCCAAAAATCACTACATACTTCTTATTTTCTATAAAACACCCAAAGAGAAATTATTCCGAATCGGCTGCTGTCGTTACGTTGATTCTTGACGAGATCCGTTCGAATTTCGCGAAGGGGTTCCCACTGAGCGAAGGATGGGAATTTCAACCTCGCGAATGTCCGCATAGTCATGTGTTTGAGAGCCGGCTGTTCTCCCGGGCGTCGGCGATTTTGAATGTAGCCATCACAGTTTCTGCCAATTGCCCTTCACGGTCAGCATGCTATTCGCTCAGCGTTCGCGAAATTTTTATTCTACGCTGAAGTGTCACGAGCAGGAATATTCGTAAACCTTCATACAATGTTTGCGCCATACATATATGTGTGCTCGCATTACTTTCTTAGCCCGAGCGCAGATTCTAAGTAGTCGTGAACTAGCAGGCGACACGACTCATCCAGGAGTTGAGAAATATTTATCTTCGTTTCAAGTGTTCAACTATTTAAATAAATTTCAGAAGTTGAAAGCTCTTGCGGCGCGCCCAATTAACAAAAAAGAATAACGACTCCATCGAACTTCATTTTACCGTTACGTTGTAAGCTTACTGCTGAAAAAGGCTCCCGGACTGGACAAAATCACTGACTTCTTAAGGTAGTTTGGAAGGACACAAAACTGATGTACCTGAAATTTTGTCTCAGAAAGGTAGCAAATACCGAGAACCAACCGCGCTCAAACCACGGTGAAAACTTCGCTTGCGTCTCTTACTGCTTCCTAATATATGTCATGTTAATTCTGCGGTAAACTTGATTCGAGCCCGGAAAGCAAGAGTGAGCCAGAGCGATTAAAAACTCAACAGCTCGTAGGAAATAAGCGTAAAACTTAAGGCTTTTGTGTGCGCAGCGAAAGCGCAACAGAAAAATTTTGGCATCAAGTTTTGCAGAGAAAGCTGGTTAAAAATAACTTCCGCTGTTCTCCTTGAAATTACGCGGCGACAAAACAGGCGGAACAGGAAAGGATTTCATGACGCTGGGACGCCACAATGCAACAAAGCAACGCCATTTTCGTATAAAACCGTGGACTTTCGGTACTCAGGGAAGATCAATTGTTTTTAGTGCTTCCTGTTTTCTTGGTTCTCTCAGGTTTGTGTTACGAATTTAAGTAGTTACTTTGCGAATCAGCACCAATCGTTTATGTATAGAAGCATTCTTACCTTCATAAGTTCAAGTTCAAAATCATATATTGATTCTGCGATAGCGCCTATATGTTTTGTTAATTCCGGATATAAAATTTTAATTATATCTACAATGAACTGTTTGTACAATTCCATCTTTGGCCTTGGAAGGTCACGAAATGCTCGCTCCGTCAAAGGTTCGAAGTTGGGAACATCCATCTGAAAAGCAAGACATGCATTCGCGGAGAGTTATAAGTTTATTTTACATCTTGTAATAAAAACGTCATATATATATATATATATATATATATATATATATATATAGAGAGAGAGAGAGAGAGAGAGAGAGAGAGAGAGAGAGAGAGAGAGAGATAGATAGATAGATAGATAGATAGATAGATAGATAGATAGATAGATAGATAGATAGATAGATAGATAGATAGATAGATAGATAGATAGATAGATAGATAGATAGATAGATAGATAGATAGATAGATAGATAGATAGATAGATAGATAGATAGATAGATAGATAGATAGATAGATAGATAGATAGATAGATAGATAGATAGATAGGTAAAGTAAAAGAAGTGTTTTGAGGGGAAACTACTGCAACAATGTATATTACAACGTTTCGAGCGCGGACCACTCTTCATCAGGTGAAACAGGCACAGTTTGAGAGGGTTTATATACCAAATAGCCCACTCTCTCCTCCATCCCCAAGAAAAAATAAGGACGAGGAGAGAAAGAACTTGTTAAAGCAAGAATACAACACAGATCGTCATTTGAAAATAGTTGCACAGCGCAAACGCAGGCAGATAAAGTTGTTCAGGGCCGCGGGGGGGGGGGGGGGGGGGGGGGGGAGGGGGGGGGCAGTTCTTTTGTCGGGTCTTTTGTGGAGGTCCTGGAGGAGATGCTTATTACCGTGACCCCCAAAACACATAAATCCCGTATCTCTCAGGGTTCGCTATCAGAAGATTGCACTGTTTGTGCGAAACAAGAAGTTTTAGGAAATCTCCGTCTATTCCTGCTTAACGGAGCCATTCAGGGCGTTCCCAAAAGGATCCTTTGTATTCTAGGTTTTGTCGAATGGGTTAGCAACACTTTTTAACGCTTCGAGGTAAAGGTCGTGTTTCGAAAGAGTTCGAAGGACACAGAGGGAGAGAATGTTCTGCAATCAGAACGGGGCTACACTACATCATCTCCCGGGGCTTTTATTTGCGCCCTCGTTCAAAGTGTTGAACATGAGAATACGATATGGTTCCTTTCGTTCCCTTTTGATCGTTGTGCAAAAACACCATTTAAATTATATTCAAAAGAGAGAACTTAATGGGAGCTTTACGGCGATGTAACGACCATAAAAATTTATTGATTAGGTCACACAGCCCAGCTTGCTGAACTTTGTCAAATATTGTTTCAGAAAAGCGGTTTCACAATTAAAAACCTAACATTAAAGATATTATGACCTAGGTGCTCTATTAGCATAACTCGCTGTTTGTATCCTTTTTTATTAAAAGAATCTACAGGTAGGTACTAGAAACCTCAGACGAGTTAATTATGATTTCGTGTATTTTTGTGAGTCGCTTGTATTACTGGGCGACAAGTGAACAAAAGGATAAATCTAAGATTTATAGCCGCCATACAAACAAAATATTACATTTCTTGTTTACTTTACTTTGTGAAGCACTGCAATGGATGGCTAGACAAAAAGAATTAGCCAAATAAAAGGTAGGCTTTTTAAAAAATCGACCTCCAGTTCGCAAAGTTTTTCAAAAAGTCCTTGCTTTACGAAAAAATACTGCCTTTTCTTTATTACACACAGCATCATATGTGTTATCATTAGACGGAGTATACTCTAAGCTCTCTGAAAATACTAATTATGTTAAGACACCTCATATAGGTCACACGAAAGAGCTGGTAACCTTTCATAAATATTGTCCAAAAACGTCATATTGGCCAATTTTCTAAAACATATTTGGTATAAAGAATCGCGTTAAAAGTACTTATCAGAGAACAAGTGTGTTCACAGGTATCTATTAAAAAAAATAAGAGGCGCCAATTTTGGGTTTGTGTATTTTTGCGAGTAAGTTGATTTACGAACAAAAGAGTGAAACAAAATTAGACTTCAAGCTTTCACAGGTGCCATGCAAACAAAATATTACAGTTTCTATTTTATTACCTTATAAAGCACTACAATAGACAGTTACAGAAAAAAAGCTGTCGAATAAAAGGTAGGCTTTTGTAGAAAATGAAACTCCAATTGGCAAAACGTTTGAAATAATCCTTGCATTACGAGAATACAGTGCCTTTTCTATTTTACACACAACATTAAATTCGATATCGATAGAAATAATATACTTTCCGCTTTCTGAAAATACTAAATATGTTACAATATCTCAAATAGGTCACACGGAAGAGCTGGTCAAACATTGACGAATATTGTCAAAGGCAAACAGTTTGACAATATTTAAGACAAAAGTGAAGATAAATAATCCTAATAAAAGTATTGGCCATAAATAATTCCTGTTCTGAGCGTGGCCGAAAAAAGTTACATTGCAGTACCAAAAAAAGGCAAAAAGGTTGTAAGGAGTGAAACATGACACCTCGGACAGGCGAGAGAAAGGTCAGTTTGAGCCTCGGCTGCTTAAAATGTTCATAACTCGAGAACAAAAAATCGCCCGAACATACGGTTAAAGGCCCGTTCACACTCTTGCAACCCAGTACGACCGAGTGAGACCAGACCGGTTTTTAAGCCTTTTGCGACTTCTTAAGACCGGATGCGCGGCAGTGGAGCTGGTCCTAAGAGATCGCAAGAGGCTTAAAAACCGGTCTGGTCTCTCTCGGTCGTAGTCGGTTGCAAGAGTGTGAACGGGCCTTTACACTCCATGTCACAAGAGGGTTTTCCCCAAAAGGCAGATTTTTTTCGTCAAAATTAAAAATTCGTCCCCAAATCCGTATTTGAGTTGAGATAAAACCACCCTCTCTTTCTCTCTCTCTCTCTCTCTCTCTATATATATATATATATATATATATATATATATATTGCACGTGCATGTTCTAGAAGATACGCTTCTCCGTTCATCTAGAAGATCCTCGTAGGCTGTTAAACCCAACGGAAATGATAAGGAGGGCACAATGTTCTTGTCTACGCACTCTCACCCTAGCTCTTTTCTTAACATTCTAGGTAGAATAGTGAAAAGCATAGTTGATAAAGAGCCAAGCGCCGTGTCGCCGATTTATTCACTGATTCTCTCTCGGGATAGCTAGCTGCTGCGCGGACGTACCGTCGCTTGCCTCTGCCGCCGTCGACGCTCAATGCTGCTTTCTCGACGTCTGTTCTACTCTTTTTCGTTTCTGGCACAAGTTTACCCCATTCAGTCTTTGATTCATTTCGTTTTCTCCGCCCTCTTTTGTCATTCATGTCATTTCTGGGGATGGTGCGGGGTACCGCAGCCCATGAAACGTACCCCTCCAAGGCCTCGCAGCGCAAGCCCACCTCTGGGCTCAAGAAGACCGTTTGTGGAGACAACCGAGACCCGAGGAAGCCACCGTACAAAAGATCCAGCACTGGAATTCGGACTTCTACGGGACCCCCAGAGGAAGTCGACGAAACCAACTATGACCACCCGGCCCTGCGAACTGAAACTCCTGTAGCTGCCTCCCCCGTCGTTTACCTGCCTGTTGCCCTTCGTACGCTGAAGCCCTTCCACGGCGAGATCCACGAGGACGTTGAGGAGTGGATCCAACACTTCGAGCGCGTGGCACGGCACGGCAGATGGACTGCCAAGTAGAACCTGCAGAACCTCTACTTTTCGCTGGAGTGCACTGCGAGTCACTTGTTTAAAAACCACGAGGCTTCACTCGCGTCGTGGGACATCTCCGTGGCTGAGTTGAAGCGGACCTTTACGAGCCAACACCGAAGGCGGCGGGCGGAGAATCTGCTTCAAACACGGATTCAGACCCCCAACGAAAGCATAACCAGCTGTGTTCACGATGTGCCACGCTTAAGTGCACGCGCCGGTCCACAAGCCACTGACGAAAAAAAGTTGCGCTTTCTCATGGGAGGTGTGAAGAGCTACATCTTCGGCGGCCTCGTCCACAACCCCCCAACGACCGTCGACGGGATTCTAGCAGAAGCAACAAAGATCAAGCGGGCGCTAGCGGCCCGAGCTCGCCACTATCATCGACTCAACGACGTCTAAACTGTGGCATCAGTCCGATCCGAGCTCAGCAGCAGCACCGACGAACTCCGCGAAATCATCCGCAACGTTGTTCGCGAAGAACTCAAGAAGCTGCTGCCTGGTGCCGATCCGCCAGAATGATTGTCCTTCGCCGAATCGTGTGAAAAGAGTTACAGAAAGCCATCGAACCGCGGGCTCCTGTCAACCCTACGCCGCTTGAGGAAATGACTCTGAGCTGCACCGCTACGGCCCGACGACCGCCGCCAGCAACCCGCCAGTACCAGCACACGGCGCCCCCTCGACGAGAAACCCATACGCCTCATTACGCTCGGCTCACTGAGGAACAAGCTCCGTACGTCCGAGCCAAACCCCCGGCGCCAAGGAGGACGGATGTGTGGCGCACGGTTCACCGACGCCCGCTGTGCTACCACTGCAGGGAAGCCGATCACGTGTACCGGCGATGCCCCTATCGGTAGCCTGGGCTTCGTGGGTTCGCACCGAACGTACCCCGCCCGAGGCGCGGAGAACGACAGCGAAACATCAAGGAGTATACCTGCACCGTCCGCCGTCACCGGCACCGGTTTCCCCCCGGGGATCCAATTTGCCGTCGTCGGCGTCGTCGGCGTCGCAACTTCAAAGGTCACGTCGAGAGAGCTTGTCTTCCCAACCTTGTCGGGGAAACTAAGCGTAGCAACCCCTGGAGGTAGAATTGCTGAAGACGACTGTTAAGTAACGAAGGATTTTGTTAGAAATAAGTAAGATTTGTTTTGCAAAAGTCTATCTTTCTACAGTTGCGTCGGCATCGTTTTTTTTTATCTCCTAAGTTTGTGTCCACATTTTTGGCGTTTGCTCGCAGACCCGCGGCAGGGGGTGAGAGCGTGAACGGGGAGTCGTCTTGTTCTCTCAAGCGCGGGGGGCTTTGGGCAGCCGAGGGGGCTCGGTGGAAAGAGTCGGACCCCGGTCGTTAACAAACGGATTGGATTTGAGCTTGGGGCGCCGGAACACCCCTGTCTTGGGCTTCTGTCCGCACTTGTGACTT